GCCAGAGCGTCGATGAGGCTTGAGGGTAGTCGGTAAGGTCTTGGATAAAAGTGAGAGCAACAATAATAATAAGCTCCAATAGTGTAGGCAGAATGCCGGAACTATGGAGCTGTCAGCTGAAATAGTAAATTCGAATTCTCAGCAAGCCATACGGCTGCCGTACATAACCTAGCTTAGAGGCTATACTCGCTTTGCTCCTGCCGCATCTAAGCTACAAATTCCTTCCTTAGTAATGCAAAGATGCCACACTGGCTCAAACTGCAAGTACTGAAAGCTCGATACGGGCTGCTATTCAATGCTAAGCTAAAGAAACTTTACGGACGAGGCGGAGACGGCAACTGCCCCATCTGCCGCAGCTGTGGCCCGACCGGCCCCACACCCGACTCAGGAGCCCACATACTCGGCGGGTGCCCCCACCCAACCATGAAGGGCATGTACATCAACCGGCATAACCAAGCGACGCGCACTATTGCCGACTGCGTCAACGGGGGCCACCACGGTGGTGGCTTCATGATTATGGACGCCGGTAAAGAAGAGGATCTCCCACCGTACTGCAGTGGGACGCGCGTCCCCAAATGGATGCTGCCACACTTAGCGGACGAGGAAATCCGTCGCCTCCGCCCAGACATCATGTTCATCCCCGACCTCCCCGCGCACAGAACCAAGCACAAACGGTACCAGGGGCCGGAGTGTAAATCCAAGCACGATGTATACATTGTTGAAGTGGGCTACACCAGTGACCTGCAGCACTCCGACAAACTCGAACAGAAAACCGCACAGCATGCACGGCTAACAGAGGAACTCACGAAAGCAGGCTGGACGGTGCACTACACCGAGGCGCAAATTGTCACCCTGGGAAGTACTGGGACACTAACCAACACACTAAAACCGCTACTGTGCAGACTCAGCTCGTCCGCTGAGCAGGCCCAGAAGACCTGCCTGCACCTCCACCGGCAAACAATCGAAGCAGCGGGCACGATTATCCGGGCGCGGCGAGTACTGGAGGGTACAGTCAAGTAACCGGTACAACCCGAACGGTTTCCCACGGTGGTGTGGGCATACAGGAGCGGCTACGCCGCCCCTCAGTTCCCCACCCCCTTAACACACGCCAGGCCCCGGCCGGCGTACTATTATTATTATTATTATTATTATTACGAACCATACTCGTTAACGGTACGAACTCACTTTCTGGTACGCTATCACAACCTAGCGTACGACACCAAGACTCCAGGAATGGAGATGGCGGCAGGTGGGCCGCATTTAAGCCACCCAGGTGAAGTGCTTCGGCCAGACACTTAACGTATCACTATACTAGTGTTCAGGGTTCAAGACCTTGCTGTCACCGTTCTCGACGTATGTCTTCGAATCCCGACTTCCCTTGTCTCTTCTCACGCCTAACGCTGGGTTGCCAATCGTGGACGAGACCCTCTGCTTCCGCTAAAACAGCTAAGGTAAGAGACGGCTGTTACATTTTGGTATCGACGATCATTTGTTCGGTCCTCGCCTCACATTGCGCCGCAGCAGTTACTCACCCATTGTCTGAGTCTTAGACTCGACTTTCTGGAAATGGTTCCTAAGCCTATAGCTAAGACTAAGGCTGTTTCTTTGAGCGATGCTAAGCACGTTCCTATTTCGCGACCGAAGTCTAAGACTACGGTGCAAATTCCTGCCGATGCTACAACCGCTTCGGACCCACTTCGCGTTGCGAAAATTAACAAGCGCAAATTAAGGAAACAATCCTTCGCTTCGCTTCGTAAATACCTTTCCTCTGTCCCTGTTGATAATCACCTTCAGGACACGATGACGCCAACTGATAACGTGGCGACTGCCCTCGACACTACTGGCAATGATGCGGTTGACGCGACGACAGAAGTTCCCAAAGCCAAAGCGCCTGGCACTTTGCCAGCGCATTTGGTTGAAACTTTGCGACAGTCAATGCCGAACCGCGTCGGCGCCTTGGAGCGTTCCCTGGAAGGAACGCACCAGGAGATGGCAGAACTGCGTGACGACATTATATCGTTACGAAATTCTTCACAGCGTGTGGAGACACAACTCCAGGAGTTACTCTCCAAGCTGTCAACACCCTCAAGCCCACCACCTCCCAATCCACGGTCCGTGGCCATTTGCAAGATTATCAAGCAAGTGGCTGCGTCTTCCTTGGCTGGCATTTTGTCAAAAGAGAGTCTTCAGGTTACCGCTTTCCAGGCGGCCCTGGACTCCCTGACGTTAGAGCCGGAGGTCACCCTGGAGGAAGTCCGGAAACTTTGGGACACCGGTGCGGTGGAGAGCGGCCCTGGCGGTAGCGCTACGGACTCCGACTCCGCGCGGCCTGCACTACAGCCCACGGGCAAAACGCCGCGTACCGAGGTGAGTACGCAGAAACGCGTTCTGAGTTGACTTCCGGCCAGAACACTAACGGCTGTACGACAGATAAGATGGAATGTTTGGTATAAAGGAGATGATGTTTTGACTGAAAGCTTGTTCTGTGATACCTGTAACGGTTAAGGTTGGCTTTACCTACACAGTTCCACTCGCCTATATCTTAACAGGTTATGAGCCCCGCGCCGCCGCGGCAAGCGAGCGAGCGTTTTGCTTAAGTACTGTGTCCGAACTTGCTGGCTTAGCAACTCTCTGGCTTAGAGATAGGACAAGTATGGGGAAGGATAATGATGTAGAGCGTTTAGATAGCTACGCCAACTATTTTCGCTGGCGGACGGCCATGAAGTACTGTTTGGCCGGCAAGGATTTGTGGGACGAGGCAGAAGACCTACCGAGCGCCGTCGCCGACAAGTCCATGAAGGCAAAATCGCAGCTGGTGAAATACACGGTGCCCCGTTTTCACAGGCTGATCGATCAAGCAGCCGACTCTGCCGCAGCGTGGGATGCGATCCGCGCCGAATGCGTATCTGAGATCGGAGCGAACATTTTGTTCATAAAGCAGAAATTTAGCAACCTGAAGCAACGGACAGGCCAGTCCGTTGTTGATTACTTCGAGGAAGCAGAGGATCTGCGCGAGCAAATGGTTGCAGTGGGCTCGAAGATCGACGACTGCCAATTCGCCCTGGCTATCTTGGGTGGTTTGCATAAGAAATTCCAAATGCAGCAGATGCTTTTTGCTGCCAAGCCGCCAAGCGACCTGAAGCTATCGGAAATGAAGGCCGCTCTACTCCTGGCGGAGCGGATGCAAGGTGACAACAACGCAGAGTGGGCCCAGGCCGAGGCCCTGGCGTTTAGCAACCGGAGCAGTGGGGTAGGTCACCGTGGCTTCGGTGGCGACTACCGTAGTGGAGCTGGTAAGGGTCAGGGAAATGTCAACGTTGGGGCGAGTACCAGCTCTGGCGGGCCTGACGTTT